AAATAAATTAGGCTAAATACCAAGCTACCTAGGGACTCGGCGGGCTCGGGATGGTATGGCAGTCTAATTCTTGAGAACATCTCCCTTCTCCATAGTCTGAATGGTGAGGCCTTCTTCCTCCTCCTTCTCAATTATCGCACTGCAATCCATATCCTCGTTCTCTAGGAACAAATTCCTCAGCCCAGCTAAAGCTTCTTCCTCTACAGTTCCCCATATTGTATCATCCTGGTGAAAAGTCTAACCCAGATGTGGCACTGGTTGCTCGAGAGGGTAATATGGATCACGCCATGGTGGTGACCAATCATTGTACTCCTGCCAGGTGTATGGGTATCCCAGCCCAAAAGTTGTGCCATTATATTTCAACTATACCGGCTTGGTAATGCCCTGGATTTTCTTCCCAAGCCCTTTGTTGGGTTCATACCCAGACCATGCTAGTATGCTTTCTATTTTGTTACTCCACCATTTGTCTATCTCAACTTCATTGACATGTTCAATGTGGTGATAGAATTCCCCTCCTAGCCTCTTTCTATTCTCGATAACGGGGATAGTTTGGCTGGTGTAAATGGGGTTACTTTCATCTCTATGAATGATAACCTCCTGATGGTTCCATTCGAACTTCATGGCCTGGTGTAGTGTGGAAGCCCCAGCCCCAGCAGCATGTATCCAAAGTCGACCCAATAGAAGATTGTATATAGCTGATATGTCAAGCACTTGGAATTCTACATCGAACCAAATTGGCCCCATCTGCAGGCAATGGTTAATCTCCCCAGTTGTGGCCCTTTGAGACCCATCAAAGGCTTTCATGTTCATACTTCCTGCCCATATCTTGTGGAAATCTTTGCCCAATCTTTTCAGAGTAGTCAACGGACAGATGTTGAGGCTTGAATCTCCATCTATTAAGACCTTGGCAATGAATGTGTCTTCAAATTGTACCGTGATGTGCAGTGCCCAGCTCTGACTTAACCCTTCAGGCGGTAATTCATCCTCGTAGAAGGTGATCTTATGACTGTTCAGCACTTGCCCTTCCATGTTGGCCATTTCTCCGCAGGTGATATTATTGGGCATATGAGCTTCATTTAACACCTTCATCAAAGCATTCTTATGAGCCTCTGAATTTTGCAATAGTGACAGGATGGATATCTAGGCGGGGGTCTTGTTTAAATGATCAACGACGGAGTATTCCCTCATATGTACTTTCCTCCAAAGATCATCCGGTCCCGTTTCGATAACAGGTTGTTTAGTAGCATCCTCCTTGCTCGATCCTTCCAAATGTTCGAGTGTATAGATCCTTCCCATTCTGGTCATTCCTTGTGCGGCATCAGATTCTTCCATCTTTGCTTTTCCCTTTCGCCTAGCTTCGGTTACATAATCCCAAGGTATGGCATTGGAGTTTAAAGGAGGTGTGGTTGCTACTGTCACTGTGAAAGGTGTGGCCACTTTTATCTCAAATGGAACAAGTGTGGCTGTAGGTAGAGGTACCTATACCTCAAATGGAACCGATGCAGTTACCTCAACTTTGACTGATGATTATATTTGTACCACAATAGGAGTGAGTGTGACTACAGGTTTAAAGTCATCGCCTTCCCGAATAAGCCCGATTGACCCGAGAGGATTGTTACGGAAGTTTGGTGCAGCTTCCTTTGCCTGTATGACTTTGTTGTCAATCAATGTCTGTATCTTATCTTTCAATGTTCGGCACTCGTCAATGGTGTACCACTTCATACCCGAATGATATGCACAAGTTTTGTTTAGGTTGACCCATTGAGATGAGTTCTCCATTGCCACAACAAGAATATGGGTGATATAACCAGCAACCTTTAATCTTTTGTACAGTTGGTTGATGCGTTCAACAATAGCGGTGTATTGTCTGGGTGGTTTGCAATCAAAGTTAGGTTGGGGTTTCTGGTAATTTGGACGAATTGGAGGTGAATGATAGTAGGTTGGCTGGGTGTTATAAGTGTGATAGGCGGTAGTAGGTTGAGAATATCTGGGAGACGAGGGTTGGTATGTGGGTGGAGGTGTTTGTTATCTAAGCGGAGATTTTAGGCCTTGGGCCACCATTACTGCCCCCACTTCTTTCTTCTTTGGTATGCCACCTTATTGCAATGCTTTGTTCGTGGCCTGTAGTGCCTCGAAATTTGTCACCGTCCCGTTTTTGATACCCTCTTCAATCCTTTCCCGAGTTTTATGATATCAGAGAACTTGTGATTCTCAATGACCATTAGCCTTTTATAATAATGTGGGTCCTGTGCCCTGATAAAGAACTTGTTTATTTGTTCTTCTTCTAGTGCTGGTTTAACCATGGCTGTTTCCAACCTCCACCGAGTAGCATACTCACGAAAAGTCTTAGTTGGCTTCTTCTTTAGGTTCTGGATATAGAAGACATCTGGTGCATTCTCCGTATTGAACCGAATTGGTCCATAAATTCTGATGCCATGCTCACCCAATTGGCCCACTTCTTAGGGTTCTGGCTTATGTACCAGGACAGGGCATCTCCGGTAAGACTTCTCATGAAGAGCTTCATTCGAGTCATTTCATCTTTTTCGACCCCCACGAGCTTGTCATAGTAAGTTCTCAAATGAACCTTGGGATCACCTGTTCCATCAAACATTTCGAACTTGGGAGGTTTGTAACCCTCCAGCAGTTCCACGTCTGGTTGTATGTACAGATCCTCATAATTTAGACCTTATATCCCTTTACCTCCTTCAACACCCCGAACTCGACTTGTCAATTTCTTGAGTTCCTCGGCCATGTTCTTGATGAGCAGGTCCTTCTCAGCCAATTCTAGTGTATAGGAGATTGGTTGAGTGGGGTGAGGTACGGTTTCCACATATATGGGTTTATTTTGGTGAGTGCTAGGGATTTGGGTGTAGTGGTGGTCGTTGGTTGAGTTTTGAGGATCGGGAATGGGTTGTTGTGCATTTTGAGGAGTGTGATAGGTAGTGGTTTGTGGATACTGGATTGGTTGATGATGGTGTTGTGGAGATAATACATAGTTTACCACCCGACCTTTGGCCCAAATCCCCCTTACACACTTTCTGTGGACGATAATAACCTTACACAAGAAACCTTTCTAAAGTGTATCTAGTACCCACCTCCTTTGACCAGATCCTGTTAATAAGACATCCGTGTATGACACATAATTTTAACCCATTACCTTATAATAACTAACCCAACCCTAACTGACCCTACCCGACCCACAAGGTAAAAGCGTTAAAACCAAACTTACCCAAGTCAGTACTCAAAATTCGATACATCTAGAAGGAGCTACTATAAAGGCGATTCCGGCGACCATCTCAAGCTACGCTTTCATCGTGGATTTCCGGTGGATTTATGCGGTTAATAGGTTAGAAATTTTCTTCTCCTTGCATTACCCATTTATTTTAGTAGTGGGTGGGTTGAATCTAGGTTTTTTTTGAAATTTCTTCTATTTTGCTTAGGGTTATCAGATTTTTTAAAAGGGGAATCTTTTGTCATTATTGATATCACTGTGAAGTTGTCGTCTTGTTGCCTTTACAGATAGTTTTTTTACAAAAGAGATTTGTCTTGTGTTTGCAAACCGTGTGTAAAGTTAGGGTTTAACTGATTATTGTAATACCATTGCTTTGAACAATGTGATATGCTCTTGTCTTTGTCTCCACTTTTATATTTCATCTGTAGTTCTTTATTTTCAATTATTGCATGTGAAAAGTCCATTTATTTGTCCCTTATTTGTTTGCAGATAATGTCTTTTAAAATCATTACCCTCAGGTGGTACCATGATGGGGTATTAGTTCCTGGTAACTTTGCTCGTTATGTGGGTGGTAGTCAAACATTGACTTTAGATGTAGATGTGGATTTACTGTCTCTTATTGAACTAATGAACTACACTAGGATATATGACTTTCAAAATGTGGCTGAGTTGTATATTTGTCCAATGGATAGGACAGATAAATTGGTAAATATTCTAACAAACAAGGATATTTTAGACATTTGTAATGAATTGGAAGATGGGGATACCTTAGATATTTATGTAACTCATGCTGCCCCTTTATGTGTTGTTGACATAAATGAGGCTAGTAAAAGGGTTGGTGGGTGTAATAGTGGAGCTTTTAAAAGCACAACTGTCTTAGAAGAAGAGGAAGATAGTGAATCTGAATCTGAATCTGCACCTGCTCATGAACCTACCCCTTCCCCTTCTCCTTCTCCTGAACCTGCTCTTGCTCCTGCTCCTGCCCTGCACCTTCAAGAGAACAAGAGAGTGGACTAGATAGTGAATCAGACTTTGATAATAGTGAAGGTGAGGATGACAATGAGAATGATTCAAACTTTGACAATAGTGATAGTGATGAGAGTGATGGAGTAGATTTACATGTTCCTGATAATAAGGATTATGGATCTGATGTTCATGAAGAATTTGTAGAGTGTAGGGATGAACTGAGGAAGTATAGGAGGAAAAGGAGTGAAAGGCCAAAAGATAGAGGTGATATTAACCTAGGTGATGCAGGAGTTGATATTGGTTTTGATGAATTAAGAATTGGTAGCAAGCAAGATAGGTACACAGGCTTAGTAGGGACAGATGAGCCTTACTTTGGGTCTTCAGATGCTGAAAGTTTTCCTTCAGATGCTGAAGATGAATTTGATGAAGAACATAAGCAGAAAATGGCTGCCAAGAGGAGGAAGAAAGCCCTGATATTTGATCCAACCGTCAAGAAAATAACCTGAGAGTTGAGGCTGATTTTTGAGAGTGTTGAACAATTTAGGTTTGTTGTTAGTAAGTACGCAATTCAGAAAGAGGTCAAATTGAAAAGTATATTAATGAACCTGGCAGGGTGAGGGTAAGCTGCATGCATCCAAAATGTCCATGGATCTTGGCTGCAAGTAAAGATGGCAGATCCAACAATTTTAAGGTAAAAAGGTATTGTCCTGTCCACAAGTGTTACAAAACAAATAAAAACAAGCTTTGCAACTCCAAATACCTAGCAAAGCATTACAGGGATAAGATTGTGTGTCAACCAAATATGAATGTTTGGGAGCTAAAGAAACTCATTAAGGATGAACTGGACATGTATGTTGGTAGGTCTACTGTACATAGAGCTAGAGCAAAAATTCTAAAGGAGATAATAGGTGATGTGCATGCTGAGTTCAAGAGACTCTATGATTATAGAGATATTCTGTTACAAACAAATCCAGGTACAACTTGTGTTGTGAAGGTAGAAGATCAAGGTGAAGGCAAGCTTGTCTTCAATTCATTTTATGTTTGCTTCTATGCTATGAAGAAGGGATGGTCTGAAGGTTGCAGAAGGATAATTGGCATTGATGGTTGTTTTCTGAAAGGCATTTGTAAGGGTCAACTTCTTATAGCAGTATCAAAGGATGGAAATAATCAAATGTTTCCTATAGCTTGGGCCATTGTAGAGGTTGAGAACAGTTTCACTTGGACATGGTTTTTGAAGTGTGTAACTCATGACTTAGAGCTTCAAGATGGAAGGGATCTTACTATCATGTATGATATGCAAAAGGTGAATATATTCTTTTGTTTCTGTTTTCTGTCAATATTTATTTTTTCTAATTTTTGTTTCTGTTGGGAACTAATTCAATTCTTTTTATGTTTAAGGGATTGCTTAAAGCTGTATCAGAAGTGTTGCCTGAAAGTGAACATAGGTGGTGTGCCAGACATATATTAGCAAACTGGTCCAAAGATTGGAGAGGATTAGAGAGGAGAAATAACTTCTGGAGGTGTGCTAGAGCATCATGTGTGGCAGAATTGAATTTTCACCTGGACAGTTTGAATATGCTTGGGAATGGGATATGTGAGAGCCTCTTGAGGTATAACAAGGAAACCTGGTGTAGAGCATACTTCAACTGTGACAGGAAATGTGATATAATTGACAACAATATGTGCGAGACATTTAATGCTTGGATACTTGCTGCTCGGCACAAGACAATTATCACAATGTTGGAGGAAATTAGAGTGAAGATGATGGAGAGAATAGGAAAGTTGAGGGAGTTTGCAGATACATGGATATGTGATATATCCCCAATTGCTATGAAGGTGTATCAGGATAACATGGCCCAATCTATGAGGTGTACAATCAAGTGGAATGGTGAATATGGCTATGAGGTTGAGGATACCTCATTAAGAGTGGTGCTGAAGCATTGTGTGAATATGCAAGCTCAAACTTGTACATGCAGGTCATGGATGCTGAAGGGTATCCCTTGTGCTCATGCCATTGCTGCTATGCATTTCAAGAACCTTGACCCAATTAACTACATATCTCACTGGTACCACAAATCCACCTATCTGAAGGCATATTCAACATTCATCCAGCCTGTGTCAAACATGCAGATGTGGCCAACATCTACCAATCCACCAATTGAACCCCCACCAATTAAAAAGATGCCTGGTAGACCAAAGAAGAAGAGAAAAAGAGAAGAAACTGAACATCCTAATTCTGGAAAGCTTTCAAGAAGGGGTATGGAGATGACATGTTCAAACTGTGGTGGATATAGACACAACAAGAGGATCTTCCCTAAGAAAGCAAGGCCTGCAGATTCTACTCCAGCAAATGCTTCATATATCCAAAGATGTGGAGGAAGAGGCAGAGCAAGAGGAACAGGAACTCCAACTACTTCTGCCCCTGCTGCTGCTGGTCGAGGAAGAGGAACTGCTGCTAGTAGAGGAAGAGGAACTGGTACTCCAACTACTTCTGCCCTTGCTGTTGCTGGTAGAGGAAGAGGAACTAGTAGTGGTAGGGGAAGTTCTGGGTTTGGACTATTTCAATCAAGCAGTGGGTTCACAAGTTTTTCTGTAAGTAGTTCAAAGTTAATTTTATATCTTGTTTGCTTTAACAACTTTACTGAATATTTTCTATTTTTGGCAGTCTGGTGGAGGTAAGCCAAGAGTGGTCTCTCATGGTGGTGAAAAGAGGTCCTCGGCAGATATTCTGGAGTGTGCATACAAGCCAAGAAGTGGTGTAAAATGGAATGGTAGACCAGCCATTACTAGAAGATAACTTGAAAGAACTACTGCAACTCGTTCCAGAACTACCACATCTCAATCCAATTTAAGTCAAGCAAGTTCATCATCCCAGCAATCCCAGAACAACCACTGAATTCTGTTATTGTCACTATTAATTTATTTTGGAACTGTTGTAATTTCCCTTTGGAACTATAATTTATTTTGGAACTGTTGTTAGGTTAATTTGGAACTCTATTTAGGTTTGTTATTAGTGTTGTTATTTAGTTAAGGCAGCCTGCTATTATTTTGGTATGCTGTAAAACTGGGCAGCGTATATTTTTGTTAAGGCAGGCTGCTGCTATTAGGTGATTGTAATAAACACCTTTATTCTATGATGAAATATATTTTTAGTGTTGTTTGATAATTTCTGGACAGATGTGTCTTTAGTGTTGTATGAATGCTGTTATTTTGGTATGTTGTTAAGAATTTGTGCTGTCATTTTTGTATGCTGTTATTTCTGGAAAATTTCAGTATTTGAGTTGTATATCAGCCACTAATAGACTGTGTTTCAATATTTTCAGTCACAATTTGAGGTGTGTTTTAACTGTACTATCAGCTCACACAGCAACAAAGTCAAACGAAACAACATTAACAATTGCCAAAAAAATCATTCTAACTCACACAACAACAAACTCAAACAAAACA